TGTGCATTAAATGAATAGCTCGCCCACCAGGTAAAGGACGTGTTGTTGCTTACCATGTCTGTCTCTGCACAACATGTAGCACACAGGAATAAATAACAGTGTGTTATATAAATAATTACATATATGAAGGGCTGTAAAACACCCAAGATATATTTGTACTTTTACTTATGAGAACGTTTTAAAAATGATTGCTTTGTTCACTGCGTGGTTTTTATGTGTTGAATGTGGTGCACGCAGAGAACATTTTCCAAAGTTGTTTTGTTGGGTTTTTTTTCCCTTTCCTCCAGGTCACACTAGCGTTATAGTTAGCAAATTGATAAGGTTCCACTGTTAAGCTTTATTACTTGTGACATGAGCCTATGACACTTTATAAAAAGAAGTAATCCAGAACAATCTCTAGGTAATTAACACCTAGATAAACAAACATAAATTTCTATATTGCATTTATTTGGACTACCACTCAAATACGCGTGAACCATGCTTTTTTAATTAAAAGATAAATCTATGTGACACTTAGCCTCAAACTTAATTATTCAGCATAGTATAATAAAAAATAGAGCCCATTAAATGTGTCTTGCTCTGTATTTCTGTATTAACAGCAAAACAGTTCACTCTGGGATCATTTAAATTTTCTTCTTCCTCTTTTCCTGTGATTTCCCTATTCACTGAGAACCTTTGGCTAAAAAAAAAAAAAAAAATTACCACAACAAAAAGCCCCCAAACAATACCCTGAACACCACCAACAGGTGAGGAGCCACAGAACTTCTCACAGCCCCTAAGAACACTCACCTGGGTGACATTTTTAATATGACATTACACCACAGCTTTATTCTCTCTCCTCCCCCTCCCAATGGAAACATACTGTGGTGGATCATGCCAAGCCGTGATATCCAGAAATGGAAATCACAATAGTTACGAATAATTTCACTGGGAGCATGCTTACAATACACAAGGTGAGGTTTTTATAATATACTGTTACAATACAGATGTTAAACAGAGAGGGGAAATATTCAATTCCCAAATTACAATAGACAGAGGGCTTAAAGTCCTTATAAAAGTTTCAACAAGAAATGTTATCTTAGAGCTGGGAGCAGCCTTCTGATTTTAGGTAGGAAGAGTCAGGACCCCCAGCATCTGTGCGAGGAAGGCTGCCCATCAGCTGTGGGAAACAAAACCCCCCAGACTTCAGTGAGACAGCCCCTTTCTCTTTTCACACCTTCTTCCCACCTGCCTTCACAGGTGATGCAACCCCACACTTGCTAAATGGCCACTGATGGTCATTTTTAGATGTCCTTAACCAGGTTTTCACATTTTCCTTTACTGGCTTCTGAAACCAGAAGGCAGGAAAATCTTTGGGAGATATCCCCAGCCACTCTCTCCCCGGATAGTTCTTTTTCCACAGCAGTTACCTGAAAGGACAATGATCCTGTTGTGAGGCAGTTCAGCTCTGAGCCTGGAGCTCATCCCTCCTAAAGACACATTTTTACATGCTGACATTTTGTGCCTAGGAAGGGCTGCTCCCCACAAGAGAAGGTGTGACACAAAAAAAAAATTAATTTATTTCTTGGATTTGGATTAAAATTTGATGCATTGCAGTGCAGATTTTATTCTCTGTGGATCGAGAGATCTGTGGCATTTTCCCATAGACCAGGGAATTTGGCACCAGCTCCATGAGTTCCTTGGCTGCAGAGACTTTCCACCAGTTCACCAGTAACAGCACCTCCTCACTCTGAGTTTCAGCCACTGAATAACTGAATTTCTATGATTCTATGCTTAAATTCTTAACCCTTCTGACAATTTTTGTACCTTTTCCTTCTGGAGAATTCAACTAGAATATAACTTTATTATTCTGGGTATGACTGGCTCAATTTAATATCAAAATTTCTCTTTTCTAAACTTGTTTGTTTTCTGAGGTTTTTTTTGAGCCAGGGCCATGTTCCTCTCTCCTCCCCATACTTGATTTGGTGCATCTTTATTTTTGATGTTAATCATCCTTACTTTTCTAAGGGAAAAATCCTTTCATTTATTTGCTTTCAAATGTGCAGATAAAACCTTAAAGGGGAAGAATAAAGATTCACCCAGGAGAATGGGAATGCTCTTGTTCTACATTCTTTGAAGTGTGAGCAGCTTCCTTAACATGTACCATAACAATAAACCTCACAATTTTCTAAAGCCAAATATATGATCTATACAAACAGTCTTTTTTAATGTGAAAACATGACTTTATACATCATAGTGTATGATACACACTTCAAACACTTTCAAATCAAAGCTTGATAGACCCCAAGACTTTTTCTATAGTACATAAGTAGTAGTATATAAAACAATTATCACTACATGCTAAAACAGATTTTCCACAGTCTTTTAATTAAGCACAATATATATAATATATATCTGTATATACTGTATATAGATTTGTTCAGATTAATAAGTGGACTGAGCACACACACCCAGCATAATACACTCCAGTAACTGCCTAACAACTGTGAATTTACTGGCATTATTTTTTTTTTCTTTTTAAATCTGACAAAGCTGAAGAAAATAATGTTTTAACTGTTCCTAAGAAACATAAGCAAGTAGGAAAACTTTTTTTCAGAGGTAGAGGTTTTATTGCGTAAAACACTGGATAAAACTGTACTGCTTCAAAGACATTTTTATTCTAACAGCAGAAAGAAAACAGTCATTGCTGAAAAAACAACTTTTAATACTTCTATACCAGAATAAAGTTCTGTCAACTGATGTATTATAATAATAAATAATGACCAAGAATAAACTTTAAATACAAAGTTTTCTAATTGTTACAAGCATAGCAACAAAATCCTCTACTCTATTGATCTCAGATTTCCTCCAAGATAGAAATTTTTCTTTGTGTAGGAATGTAGACAGTATTATGACCAGTATCACAGACTACAGAAGTTACAGAGAAAAAACTTGACATGTTTAGATATGAGAAGCATGATGATATTCAGAAACTGACAATGCATCACTGCTGCTGTCACTTGTTTGTATTACAAGTTACAAATGTTCTGGAAAAAAGGGCTATGTCAGAGGGGAGGATAGGGACAGTAGCACCCGACCAAATGGAATCAACACACACATCACAAGGAGCGGGAGATGTTTCCAGTGTCACAAACAGAATTATTGCCTGTCGTATCTGAAAATGCTCAGAAGACACAAAAGAATACTGAAAGAGCTCAAAAAGTGCAAGAAATGGAATGTGGGGGGTGGTTTTGTTTTTTTTTTTTCTCTCTTTTTTTCTTTTTTTTTTTTTTTTTTTGCTAAGATACCGAAGGCGGCGCAAACACACAAAGCAAGCGACTGACACAGTCACCAAACACAGTAGTGCAGTTAAAATCCTAAAGCTTACTACAGTCAGAAAGGTTCAATAACATTTCAATCCTTTATCTAGGATCATAGAAACAGTTGCATTAAGTTTATCAACTCGATTTAAGTAAGGCAGTGAGAACTATACTAGAAAAACAAGAAAAGCAGCTTGCTCTGTGCCAGATGGGTCCAAGTTACACAGTGACCTCATTTAAACTGAAACTTCAGTTGGATGACATCCTTTCCGACAGCATATGCAAACCGTATTCCTTATTAGCCTGAGATTTTTTTTTTTCCAGTCTCAGGGTAGCGCTAAGAATTTTATTTACATTGATTGCAGTTTAGTATTTTTTGTAAACTGCTTTAGGCAGAGCTGAAGTTTTAAGGCCCTGGGGTTTTACTCTGTGCTCCCAGCCTGCAAAGAAATATTGACTTTTTTTTTTTAACTTTTTTCTTTTTTTTTTTTTTTTATTTAAGTCTGGATGATTTTGCTTTAGAAGAAGTTAATACTTCTCTACCATCACAATAAACAGCACCAATTTTGCTTCTATCAAAGGAAGTACATTAGAAGGATAAAATTTTATGCCATTCAGAGAATTTCAGAATAAACCTTTAGTTATTTTTCTTACTTTTTTTAATGTGGTTTGTTATAGTCTCTCAAAAGCTTCCTATGTGGCAAAGACCTTCCTAAATTTGGAGCATCCAATCAGTAAAAAAGCTAAAATCTGCAAAAATATAGAACACATTTGTTTTACAAAACCAAAGAAATATAATCTAAAACACTTTTTTTCATTAGAGACAAAGAGCAGAAAGTTTGGATTCATATTTTAGGTCAAGCTACTTTATAAGGGCTTGCTCCAGAAGAAACTTCTGCACTGTGTCTGTAACACTTACAAAAACTAATACATGAAAATTAACCATGACCAGGGAATCCTTCATTCAAGTGTAAAAAAAAAAAAAAAATGCAATTGAAAGGAAGTTTGAAAAAAACCCCAATAAGACAAGTAAAGAACAGAAGATAAAAATTACCAACCTCCTATGTAATAAAATTCTGTTTCTCACCAGCACCTTCTATAGATAAGGCTGACTAGTTTCACTAAACAATATTTCTATATATTGTACTTCTACATTTATAGCAACTTCTTCAACAAGAAAAAAAAAAAAGAATAAAAGCATTTCCCTCAATACTGCAAGATGATTACAAAAAATGCAATTATATTTCAAATCTGCAATCACACATCAGGCTGCAGATATTTATTTTTTTTTTCTAACCATTGATTCATTTGGCTGTATATTAAAAAAAAAAAAAAAAGAAAATTTAATATCACAATACTTTTCAAAATAGGTCAGTACTGACCCCAGCTTATGGGCCGTCTAAGGTTTCTCCTACACTGCAGTTGCAACACCACTTGAATTGATTTTCTCTGCAATGACAGCTCCAGTCAGACTGGCACCATGGCAGTCTACCAAGACATCTCATTACTATGCTAGGCAAATGACAGCAGCTGGTGTCATATTATAAAGGTGTTTTCAACAATGAAAACACAGCCCCTCAATCTTCAAGGCAACACTAAATCGTTTAGAGGGTATCATTTTTCTGTTAAGAGCATTATTTTTGGACAAAGACCACTTTTAAGTTTGAAATTGCCCTGCTTTTTAAATAACTAACAACCTCCTAACATTTTTAAATCACTTTATTATCCCACCTACGTTGTTTGGAAGTACTTGTTGCCAGGTAACTGTTTAGCAGCCATTTTCAAGGGCTGGAAATTTATTTTGCATGTGTAATATATATATTTACACACACACACACACGTATGGAATGTGTGTATTTTGTGTGCATGTGTGTACGTAGATATATATTCAATGTGGGTATGACTGGATATCTCTGTGTCTGTAAATATATATATATATATTTATATATATATGTAAATGTGTGGCTACATGTACATATACATATATTTGAATGTTTTCAGCAGTCTGGACCCTTCTGGGAACTTGCATGCCCTCCCTTTCCCTGGAAGGGTTTTAAGCCAGCCCTCACCAAGCAGGTGTCCAAAGCCAGGGTAAAAGGCTCCTGCAGAGCAGGGCTGGAGCATCACTCCTGGGCCTTGGTGCCCTCCTCGGACAGCTCTGCCGAGCTCCCTGCCTTGGCCGCCGCCGGCTCCTCCGAATTCCCAGCAGCTTCCGAGTCCACTCTGGAGCGCTTGAACCTGCGGTCAGGGTACTGGCTGTTGTCGAAAGGCATGCGATGGACACAGAGCACGTGGGTCTTCAGATTTCCCTTCTGAGAGGCACTGTAGGGGCAGTATCTGCACTGGAAAGGCCGGTGACCTGCGTGACAGACGACAGCCTGGTTAGTTTTTGCTTTAGCCCGTGGACATTGCACAGTCTGGACAAACAGGACACTCCGGAGCCCCTCTCCTGCTGGGGGGGCATCGCTCGACGGCCCCTGAGAGAACAAGAAACCTGTGCTCTTCCTTAATAAACTGCATTTTGAAAATTCTTTGCTTAGGATTTCCAGAGCAGTGCAGCTAATCCATCTCCCTCCTCAGCCCCAGCTGTAAATCCTTCAGCCCACGATCCAAACCAAACTCTTATAAATACAGCATGTACAAAACTGTCTTCTTTTACATTTGTTAATTATCTTTTTTATTGAAGTGCAATTCAAGAATGACAATGTGCAGACCCTTAGTCTAATAAACACACTTTGTCTTTGGGTGGGTTTCTGGGTAAAGAATTGTATGTTTTATTTCAGTTGTGCAGATTACTTTTTAATGGAAAGAAATAATGGATTGAGATAGCCAAGGCCTGAAACCTGCAAACGTTTACTCCAGTGAGATTACTCCTGTGAGTAAAGATATGCAAGCATGTAAGTGTTTGCTGGACCAGAGCCCAAGGTTATCATCAGCTTTAAAATAAAATGTCCAAGCCAGATTAGAAAAGGAATGTTAATGCACAAAATCTGATAGATGCACTTCTTGTGGATAAAACAGCAATCGACCATGTAACAAAGGCATGAATGAAAGATATCACTTCTCAGTAGGGCTTATCAATATGCTCTTCTATATTTTTCAGATTATTGTGACTTCAAATCTCCATGCAGTATCTGGTTTTGGAGGTTATGTTTCAACAATCACATTTCAACCTATGCTGGGAAGTTGTTGATGTGTTTTACTGGAACTTTATGAGCTTTGTCTCTCAAATTAACTTAAACCAGGACCATCTGAGGTCAAATGTGCTTAGCTTGCTTTAATTTGCTCAAATAAATGAATAAATAAATGTGCCAGACCATCTACATAAAGCCAGGATAAGTGAAAAACAATACCCTATCTCCACATTTGAAGAGCACATTTTCCCTTGCTGCTGTGGTACTACTTAGCAGGCATAAAACAGATGCTGGGGCAGCAGAGGAGGAGAATTATGCTTCCTGCAATGGGGAAGGGGCTGGACCCTCTCCCCTTGGTTTTAGGTGGGAATTTACCAGCTAAACAAATAGACACCTGTTGTGCACTTGTCTAATGCTACCTGTACTGGAGTGGAAATGCTACCCAGGGGAAAGACACTCGGTGTCCTAAGCCCTCGCCCCAGGAGTGCAGCCTTCTCCTCAAGGATAGAAAGCTCCCAGTCGCCCTTTGTTTTCATAAGCTGGATACTGCCAGAAGTGTGACCACCCACCAAACCCTCAAGCATGCATATTTATTTATGCTTGTTATGTCTCCAGCACAGGAAGGGCATGGAGCTGTAGGAGCGAGTCCTGAGGAGGCACCATGTAGGAGCGAGTCCTGAGGAGGCACCAAGAGCATCAGAGGGATGGAGAAGCTTTCCTGTAAGGAAAGGATGAGAGGATTGGGATGGTTCAGCCTGGAGAAGAGGAGGCTCAGGGATCACCCAGCTGTGGCCTTGCAGTACCTGAAGGGTCTGATAAGAAGGAGGGACAGGGACTATTTACAAGGACCTAGAGTGACAGGATAAGGGAGAATGCCTTCAAACTGACAGTGGGGTTAAGTTGGTTATTAGGAAAAATATTCTCCCCTGTCAGGGTGGTGAGGCCCTGGCACAAAGTGCCCAGAGAAGCTGTGGCTGTGTGTCACCCCATGACACTGTGCCATCCCTGGAAGTGTTCCAGACCAGGTTGGATGGGACCTGGAGCAACCTGTGATAGTGGAAAGAGTCCCTGCCCACAGCAGGAGTGTTGGAAAGAGATGATTTTTAGTGTCCCTTTCCACCCAAGACACTCCATGATGCTATGATCTCACCAACCAGCTCTTAATGCTTTACCCACAAGCAGCTCTTGATAAACAGCCATCCTAATTCTTTCCTGCAAAGAACAGATTCTAAGCAAGGAATGCACAAAGCAAGGCTGGAGCTAACCACTTCACATGCACCAGATTAAAAGCAAACTCTTTTTGCCCACCAATGAACCAAGTTCAAGCCCATGTTCAAAATTCCATGCAGAGAATGTCATTTATTAATTCAACGCACTTTAATAAATCAGACAATATAAAGTGCACCTACAAGGATTCAGTTCTGCATTGCTTCCCCCACGACTTACTTTTTCAAGCCATCAAAATTTCACATCACTGCCTTGTGAAAAGTAAGTACACAATAAGTTAATTTGTATTGTCACTATGCAGTACAACTGTGGTAAAGAGCACATTCATTTTTAATCCGATATGAATAATATATAAATATGTATACAGAGTGAGGGTCATAGGAAAGCAAGTGGTACATTGTTTACAGCAGAACTAGTACAAAAAGTAGAGATTATTCTTGCTTGCAAAGATAACAATATCTGCAATTTGCTTGTAACTAAGGGGTGAAGGAAAATTCCCATTTCTTTCAGGTATCCCCATTCATTAATTTTAGCCCCCAAACTTGTTGTAGGCAGCAGGCTCTTAAAATAACCCTTCCCAGATAAGTTTGCAATAAATTTATAATATTTTTTCTAGCAGTGGTTGGCAGGTCCTTTCTTAGCAATCTATAGTTCATATGTATTTTACTCACTATATATCTCCCAATAAAATTATATGAAAGCCCTTCAGAGAAAAAAAAATAAATAAAAGAAAAAAGAAAATAAAAGGAATCTTCCTGATAGTTCAGGAGATGATGTGATATGCATTGCAATTGTAGTAAAAAGAATTAGACTGCAAGTGGGTAGACTAGGGGGGCAAATTATGGTGTGCATCTCTCTCTGAATAATAACAATAATAAAAAATAATAAATAGTAATAAAAATAATAATCAAAATTAGCTAAAATTACCAAAATGGTGGCTGGACTCAAAGAACACTTTTAGCATGTATGGATTTCCTCAGGAGGGGTGATTGCTTCCAGTACCTGCTGGAGCCTCTTCTCTAGACGTGATCTAAACCTCCCAGGATCAGACCCAGGAAGGGTGGCAGTGCTGGGGTGACTCAGGCTCATCTCCTCTAGTTTTGACTGAATTTTAGGGAGCACAAGGAGTGTGGATAAGAGATACATTCTCGCCAGGATGGAGAAGTTTTCTGCAGCCCCATATTAAGAAAAATCTCTCAGTGTTTGAAACTAGTCCACCTTTTTAAAAATATATACTGCTTCATTAATTTAGGCTTTGAGGGGAAAAAAAAAAGTAAAGTTTGTTGTCTTTTCTTTCAAGTTTGTGATGTGATATGTTGCTTTGTGACACTTCATGTCAGGCCGCATCAGTCACATCGCGTTAGGTTTCATAACGTGGCAAGACTGATGCAGCCCAACATGGTGCATCAGCTGAACAGTCAGAAACTGTAGGTTTTGAGAAAGACATGGATCTCAGTCTGGGGTTTAGGGCCACTTAAATGAAAGTTTATCTCAAGTAAAGGCCTTGGACTTAAACGAAGTCATTGCCCAAGAGTTGTTAAAGATTCAAGTGCCTGTCAAACCGTATTTTGCTTTGTCTAATCTTTAAAACTCAAAATGTATTATTGGAACACATAAAAAGTCAATGTCAATGAAGTGGCACTGGGTTACTCACTGTAATCCAAACACTGCTAATAGTTACTAATTTATTAACTTTGATATGGATCCATTATTTAAGATTAGCACAAAGGAATACACAAACGAGGGAGAGAAAGTGATGAATACTAAAGTCTTTTTCATTAAAAAAATCATTTACATGGTCAAGCCGCATTAATTCTCCACTTCTAAAAATATTTGATCGGCATCCAAATTCTATAAAATTTCCACAAAGAAACATCTTATTTTTGTGGTATTACAGGCACATATGTAGGGGTTTGCACTAAAACGTAAAAATGGGCATTGAACGAGTCACATGAATAAGATCAGGAATTTATTCCAGATTGTTAAAAGTGTACTAATCACAGCAAAATCATGGCTTTCTCCCAAAGCAGCAAGAAAATGGTAATTTGAAAGAAAAATGCCAATAATACATCACACACAAGCCGTCTGTTGTCCCCACTACACCACTTTGTATTATATTGCATATGTGTACATATATACACAGATACACGCGTACAGACACACACACACACACGATTTAATGCATAAATTTAGGGGAAAGAAAGAAGAGCAATAACATGATGAACAGAAAACAAATGCTGTGCAATGTACTATAAATTATAATTAAGCTCTGAATAAAATGTGTTTCTTAGATATGACATTTGTTCCCTTAAAATGCAAAAATGGCCATGATTATCTGACAGAATGTTTTTCCCTTAGATGGCCAATGGCTATAGCACTTACTGAGATGCAATACGGCAAACTCATTTCAGATTTCTTTGCCTGGTTTAAGAATATCCTTTTTGTGAAAATCAAAAATAACAGCAATTACCTCTTTAAAACAAATTATTCCCTCGCAAAGAGATATTTGAAAAAGCCTCAGAGGCTTGAATTTCTCAGAAACAAATCTCTTTAGTTGGAATGTTGGACACTGAAGATCTGGACTGGACTTGCTGGGCCACTGTAGCAGTCCCACAGGGCCAGGGCAGCCCCGGCCAGGCCCAGGCACTGGAGCAGGACCGGCTGCAGTGGCTCAGGATGGATGGGCACTGCCTGCTGCACCGGGATGCTTGGTCCCACAATGTTGCTGGTGGAATGGTCCATGTAATCACACATCTGCTGCCCAGCAAAGCCTGCTCTCACACCTCCAGTGAGCCCACACCTCCCCAGGTGCTCCCCAGAGCTGCCTGGAATCCTTTTTTCCCCACACAAGGTTGTGTTTGAGGCACAATCATCTCTAAGAGCGGGGAGTGCGTGCTGCCTCAGACATAACAGCAGGCAACGATGGCTGGGTGCTTTCTGTGTTTGAAGAGAGGCTTTTTGAGCATCTCCAGTTCTCTGGCAGTGGCTGCTGGGCTGA